ATGTACCCGAGAAAATAATATTTTTTAACGACAATACAGTTTACTAATGCGTAATGTTCCACGCGTCAACTATTTTACGGAGTCCTGATATAACATCGTTTGTACATCAAAATCAAATTAACGAGAGCAACCGCAAGTAATTGCAGTTGCAATCTTTTAACCCTTTTTCCTTCGGTGTACACTTTTTGAAAGGTTTCATTACCGGATTAACCATGCATCTGACTCTATAGTGTATACAAGCTTCATTGATTTTCGATCTTGAGCGATTTTTACATAACGTTTAGATATACATAGTGTAATAACGTTCTGAATATCTCGAAAAGTGCAAAAAGCAATAATTCGTTAAGGATACGATATGGAGCACTCTGTGGCATTGCCTGTTATTTATATTAATTTTTTTTTTTTAAATAGGTATATTCATTACACTTTTTTAATACTTTTCCTCCATTTAAAACGTAAAAAAGTAAAAAAATAAATTCTATGAAAATTCCGTATAGTTACGTCCACCTTGATTTCATTTAATATCTATGCTATTATTTTTTATTCTTTAGTAAGTAATATTTTCATTAATTATTTATAGTTTAAAGAGAAACAGAAAATGTATATAATTAACTGCGTCGATCGACCCGATGATATAATTTGAATTCAAAATAAGAGGAACAACATATATTTCAATAAAACATTGATAAATTATGTTGTGATTCATATATAGCTGATTTACTGTATTGTATTATTGCAATGTACAGATACTAGAATAGCATGTATAGGCACAATTTCAAATTTGTGACGTTTGTATTACATATCGGCCTTCGGTCAATAGGATTAATTCTCTACTTTTAGTATAATTCTATTATAATAGAATTCTATCGCTTATATATGTCTGATAATAATTAATAATTTCATTGAGTAACTAAATACCTTTTTGTTGAAAATGAAAAAAGTGGATTTTGTTGTATTAATAAAACTTATAATATTTTAGTATTCATAGATTTCTAAAATAAAAAAATATAAACGATTAAAAATATATAAGAAAGGCAAATATTTTTTTTTTCTTTGTTTTCCAGTATAACATTTTTCAAATTTGTTCTTATATGAGTCCATTTATTTCATTTTCTGCCTTTATCAAATTTTGTTACACGATGAAATGAAAGTAAGGAACAATTTTTTATAGTCTTGAAGTAATGAATGATTTATTTAATACTACTAAATGAGTAATTTCTAAATTAAAAATGCAGGTAATCTTCTGATAAAATATCTGATGATATTTGTAGAAGTGAAGTAAATATGTGACAAGATGTTTTTTTTGTGAAATTTATCTGTTTTATCATAATTTAAAGATACAACATTATAAAATTTTTTCTTTATTACAATGAAAACTGAGCAGAATATAATTTTTTATATATAATTATCTATTTTTATAAACATTATTAAATTTTTTTTCGCATTATTCATATTTTTTTATGTCTTTGTGTATTTATTTTGACATTACTTCATTCTAATTAATGTTTTAATTACTTTAAATCTTCGTATTATTAGAGGGTTACCTGCTTTTAATATAATTGTACATATGCTCTTAATTTTTACGAGTTGGTTATATTCAGATCTCGGTTGTAACGCTTAAGTCTCATTAGTTCCTAAGGAGTGCTCTTTATTTGTTATCTGCACAAACTTGCTTTTCATTTTAAGATACTTGTTTTCATATCCAATCTTGTATACTTTGAAAAGTACTTTCAAGTTTAATAAACCGGTTAGGTACATATTACTCTCACAAAGGAGGGAATCGTTTAGTTTAAGATTAGTTCGTAGCATTGCAGTTGAAATTTTTAAGACTCAATGTATGATGTAAACATATTTTTATTTTAATATTTGTTTCATTGATTTATTATCATTATTACAAAGGGTTTCCTTTATCAATGAGATAACGCTAAACATGTAAATAATTTATTAGTATTCTTTGATGTTTGCTAAAGGAGTGGTTGTAGTTCTACAGAATGGAGTATATAATTTTTTTAGTGTACGTATTTAGTATTTGAGATCACATTGACTGCAGGCATTCCACAAGTGCTGATAACATTATACAATTCTTTACTCTATATAAAACAAGAACATGCCTCTTCCAACCTCGTTCTTTCTCTATTTCTCACTCTTTCTCTCAGAAAAATTGAAAACATTAAAAGCAATATTTAGAATCGAACGCGTACAAAAGTATTAAGTTACCGTGTGTTTTAAGTTTCAATAGGAGAGACAAAAGATTGAGTAAAACTAAGCGTATACCTTTTTGATACTTTTCTAGATATTGCTTTCAGTGTTAGTGTATATATTTTCGAGCGTATGTCTTTCTTTTAATTTTTTTCTTTTTTATTACATGTTAGAAAATTTTTATGACTGAAAGATACAAAATATCTCAGGTAGCCAAGTGAGTTTGAAAAATACTGTTTTATACATTTTCTGCCATTTTCCAATTGTACGCTCGGAGTTCGAAAACTTATAATTATATGTGGAAAAGAAGAAAAAATAAGTTCTTCCTTTTAGGGCTATAGTCTTCATGATATTGAGCTTAATAAATTGCTTTCGTCGAAATAAGATATATTTGCAAGTAAATAAAATGTACACGTATTAGTTTGAGTGCACTGCGTGCTAAAAGATCTATTATCACTCAATAATGTCATTTCTGATATTATTTTTTAGAACCTACAGTAATGTATGATACGTAAAGAATTATTAGGAAATGTAGGAAATATTAAGTATTAATCCATTTGCAGCAGGAAATATAGTTTAAAGTTTGTAAATTTTAAATAGATCACTTATCTAAATTAATTAATAATTTATAAAGCATTAAAGTCTATAGTGTTTTTCAATTACATTACATTATCACATTCGTCAAATACTTCCTGTTGCTAATGTATTAAACATTTATCCACTTTCTTTTTTAAGTAGTCTCAAACTGGATAATAATATTTTAATCTTAAATATTTTGTAACTCAGTTGCGATTCTTTTTTATACATTAAAATTTTTTGAAATAATTGGATCACTTTGATTTTAATATCTGCGAAATATTTATTTTATCATAACTAATCGAAATTTTTTATCCATTCCAAATAGGAGAACTTTGTATTTAGTTTAATTATCTTTAGTCAATACATTTAAAAAATATCAAAATTTTTATTCAAATATTAGGAATCTTTCTTTAATTACTTATACGATTGATTTAAAAATATATAAATTAACATTAACATGTTATTGATTAAAGTTGAAATTTTTATATTTATAAAAAGTATTTAAATAATTTTATTGCTTTGGTTACAATCTTCTATAATATGATGAAAATATGTACTTGTACATAAACTCAAAAATTACTTCTTTTTGTGCAAAAAATTATCTTTTACGCAGTTTGTATAATCCCTATTATGCTTTGTTTGGTTTAGACTGATAAAGGAAACGAAAAGAGAAGTAAGAAGAGATTAAGTATATACTTTAGTTAAGAAATTAAACGATATTAGAATTCCCACAAGGAAAATGCTCAGCTTTGTACAGTGCATACATATAAACGTATAAATTCGTGTATGTATACACACTCGTGATATATACAATTTGCCTATGTCTTTTTATGTATAATGTCTATATGTATAAAAGCATCATGTTTTACTTATACGACAGTCGCAAGAAAAAAGCTGCTTACACACACTCGTGCATTGTACTTGAACAAAACTTTGATTATTTTATATTTAGTGCATTGACAATTTATCCTGTAATTATTCTCAGGTGAAAAATGCCATAAAGTTCGATATGTACGGTGTGAATCGATTTCCTTGATTGATCAGGAAATCGCCAAATAGAATAGAATCAAACTAAACGTTGATATGTGTTATACTGATACATCGTAGCCTTTATAAATTCCATCTAAATAATACATCGAGGAGGTATTGTATACTAAACAATCATTTGAGGAGTAAAGAAGAAACTAAATTCAAAAGGGAACGGACATCATTCGACTTAATACTTAATTTGTACTGATACATTTGATAGAAACATCCATTCCCTTTTAATTTTATTTAAACATTTAATGATTTTGGACATTCATACAATTACCTGAAATCCTGGGTGTTATAAATATTATCTTAATTTAACATTTTCTGATTGAATTACAAATATTTGTAAGGATTAATATATTGATAAGTTGTTTCTTAATTCCTGTACAACATATCCCTGATAAAAAAGTATAGCAAACGAACAAACGTTGAACATTTGTTCTCGTCTATATATACATATATACTCGTCTTTTTTAAGATTTTGGTTGGACAAGATAGGAAGTAAGCACAATATTTAATTAAGAAGCATAACCTGTTAGAACAAATTTGCCTAGTATTTGCAATCTACTTATTTGTAAAATGTTAATATTTGTATTCTGCCAATATTTCTACAGATAAATGAAAAACAAAATTACTCAGATTATTTTACCCTAAATCTGAGATTAAGTTATAATAAACTTATTTACTTCAATATTATTGTGAAATTTATTTATTAAACAAGTAATATAATAAAATTTACTTCTTTAATTTTCCAAATTTATATTAAAGTAATAAATATAAACTTTTTTAATTTATTCATTCTCCCGCCTTTTTATAACCATATCTTTCATGAATCGATATGTCAACCGCTGAGTCAAAAATATTGATTTAGCGTTAACTTCAAAGCAAAAGTATTTCAATAACGTTACAAATGTAAACTGTGAGGTGCCCTAAATTAATGTTGTACGTGTTTTAAACTGCGGCGATTTGAAATAAAATGAATTGTTGAAGTGTGATTATTAAAAAATTTGGAAGTACGGTCGTGTAATGATATGTATGAATGAATTGTTCGACATAATAAATGGATACCTTCGACCAAGTGTGGGTTAAATCGGATGAATTGCTAGTGTCTATTGTGTTATAAATTGTTTTATTTTTTCAATATCTATAAATTCTAATTTTATATAATTCTTTTTTATTTCATCAATGAAATGATGAACCAATCTTTAATTAAAATCATTCAATGTACACAGAAGGTTTTAATACCATTAAGTGTTGTAATATTATTTATTTATTTGAATCGTGTGCAACCATATTATTTCATTGATGAGGTTTTTCATATACCTCAAACATTACAATATTGTGCTGGCAATTTTACACAGGTATGTTTTAATTGTTTTTAATTAATTTTTAGCTTTTATAATGTATTATATTATTTTTACCCAGAGAATAAAAATTGTTTTTAAACTAGCACATAAATATATATTCATATTTTAATGAACAAAATCTAAAAGATATGCTATTGAAAATAAAATAGTATACAAAATATTTTGAGGATCATATAAAATATATTGAGGAATATGTTATTTTTAGTGGGATCCTAAAATTACTACTTTACCTGGGTTGTACTTAATTACAACTCTAATACTGTCACCCTTAAAGCTTTGTAATATTTTTTATATGAGATGCATAAATTTACTTGGAACATTTCTGAATCTCTATCTTGCTAACAGTATAATTAAACAAATTTCAATAACTCATTGGAAGCAAAGATGGAATGATTGGATGAAACTTACCATGGCTTACAATATTATGTTCTTTCCACCTTTATTTTTTTGGCATTTTTTATATTATACAGATGTTGTATCAGTTAATACAATACTGTTAATGTTATTATTACATTTGTATAAACAATTTGCTATGGCAGCTATTATAGGTATGTATAACAATCAATGAACTGTAATATGTCAAAATCCATATTGAATTCTAAAAGTAGCTATTATTATTAATATTGTACAGGTCTTTTATCTGTGCTAATTCGACAAACAAATATTATTTGGGTTGCATTTATTACTGTGGAACATTTATTAGATTTGTTAGATCATAAAATAAATAAAGTAATTTCACATGAACAGTACAGTTCAGTAACTTATCTAAGAGTGAGTAAATTATTATTATAAAAGAAATACAAGTACTTAGTTTTATATTTGAATTGTATATTATTATATATTTTTTAGCTACTATGGAAAAAGGTAATAGAAGAAACATGTCATGGATGGAAATTATTTATAAAGTTTATCACTCAACTATGTATACAGATGCTCCCATATATTACAGTATGCTTATTGTTTGTTACTTTTGTTATATGGAACAAAGGGATTGTAATTGGAGATAAGTCAGCTCATGTTCCTACTATTCATATTCCTCAGTTGTTATATTTTTCTACTTTTCTGTTTTGTTTCTCATGGCCATATATGATTATTTATTGGAAAGACTATTTTAAATTTATTAGTAAACACTGGATATTTGCAAGTTGTGTGTTAATACTTTTAACTATAATTGTTCATTTCAATACTTTTGTTCATCCATATGTGTTAGCTGATAATAGACATTATGTATTTTATTTTTGGAACAAATTTATGGGAAGATATAAACAATTTAAATATTTTCTGATACCAGTATACTCATTTACCTTGTATACTATGTTTCATGGACTGAAACATTTAAGATTTATGACACAAATTAATTTCATTCTTATGTTTTGTACAGTACTCATTCCCCAGTTATTATTAGAACCACGTTACTTTATCATTCCATACATATTTTATCGTTTTTTGATTAAGAAACCAAAAAAATGGCAAATTATTGCAGAGTCTATAACTTCATTGATAATAAATTTTTTGCAATTTTATATTTTTGTAAATAAGGTTTTTTATTGGAATGATCAGCCTTATCCTCAAAGAATTTCATGGTGAATTAAACAATTTAAAAATTTTTCATTATACATGTTATTTGTTTAATAAATTGTAGATCTTCAAAATGTTTATATTTATTTCCATTGTATATCATTTTTACAATAACTTTTATATTCAAATTTATTTAACATTTTCTGCAAGTATGTAACTTTTGTATCTATATATAGAGTCTTATGAGATTTTTTAGGAACATCTCATTCGTTAAAGTAATTTAATGTGATAATATTTAATAGACCATTTTTATAATATACCAAGCAATAAACAAGTAAAATATAAATATAAAAATATTAATACATCAAAAATTGGTTATTAAATGCGACGAGATATAATGTCACTTTCTGTTAATGCATTTTTAAGAAACGAGTGCCAAAAGGCACTTCTTGTAATGACCAGAACAATCACCCTATAAAAGAAATTTGATCATTAAATATAACTGTCAATTTTCTTATGTTTGTATATAATGTATACTAACAGATATGAAATCTTCTAATGATTCATTGTATTTCCGCTTGAATTCTTCTTTGATTTCTCCCATGTCTACTTCGGAACGTGTGACAACCAATCTAATCAAATGATCATCATCTGTACCAAGACCCTTCATGCTTTTGTATAATTGATCGGCAAAGAAGCCGGCTCTGTTTTTAACGCATTTCACTGTAAAATTAATTTAATATAATATATTATTTCAAATTAAAAAAAACCACAGGTGAAAGTAATATAATATTTATATACCAATAGCAAGAAGGCCTTTTTTAATGTCCCCTGAGAACTCGTTTTCGATTGCAGTTTCAATAGAATGACCGGTAATATCTTCGTATTCTTGGAATATCTGTCTTAACTGAGGTACATTTCTTTGAACAAGTATCGCGTTAAATACTGATTCATCAGTTCCAAAACGGAGTTCACCTGAAGAGAGAAAAATAATTTGGTACATTTTGTCATAAAATAACTATATTACTCAAAAAGTTACATACCTCCCATCAAAAGTTGTTTGGCATCTTCTTTAGCGGCTGCGAGATCTACGTCGAATGATTCATCTCTGTTGGCACAGCTCAATGATACCATTAATCGCTTGAAATTCCCAGAAGTATCTCCTCTTAGATCATCTTCTAATGTTGTTCTATACACTAAGTCAGAAAAGGAAAAGATTATAAATTTTCAATAAAAAAAAAAAAACTATGTAAAATTATTGTGAGATAAACTTACTTGCTTCGTAAGCTTGTTTAATGACACGAATTTCATGATTAGACATAGTGCACAATACTTCGATAAGGACGCATTCATCGGTACCTATACCAACCATTGCTGAATGCAATTCTTTAGCATAAAATTGTGGTAGTGGCATCATCATTGCAAGAATTAACTTTTCAAAGTTACCCGATAATTCGGACTTCAAATCTTTTATAAGATCCTATTAAAAAGAAGTTGAATCAATTTGGAACAAATACTTTTAGTACATTACATTCAATTTTAATTTTTCTACCTTTCCATACAAAGTTTTAAATTGAACAGCAATTTCTTGGCGTTGCAGATTGTTGCGGTTAGCAAGCACGTTAATAATAGCTTTTTCATCTGTACCAAAGCCTTTCATTGCCTTCCTTAAGATTTCTGCATCTGCTCTGGCATCAAAATCATTGTATGCTACGACTGTAGGGGATAACTGCAACACAAATAAAAAATAGTATACAATATTCTTTTGAGAAAAATAATAATTAAAATGTATTAGTTATTTAAACCATATAGCCGTTTACACATCTTTGTTTAATCTCACCTTGAATGCAAATTGATTTCTCCGGGGGGTTGGGGCTGGATGAGATTGATAAGGAGAAGATATACCACTATGTGGAGAATAGAATCCTGTACCCTGCCCCCCAGGATAGCTTCCGCCTTGATAGGAGTTTGAATTATTTGAATAGACATTGGAAACAGAGGTATAAGAAGGCGTATTAACACATTCTTTTGTATCTAATGATGTATTCTGAAGATTTGGATATATGTTATAATTTTGTTGTTGTGGATATGTTGAAGGTTGATTTGAATATGCTTGTTGCATATGTTGAGATGGGTAAGTGGAAGTAGGTTGTGACATTGGTAAAGGCATTTGTTGAGGAGGAGCTCCTGGTGCTGGAGGATGACACTGGCCAGGTATGGGATGATTAGGTTGCATTGGGTAAGGACTTGAAGGATAAGGAGAATAAGGCTGTGGCATTCCAAAAGACACAGGGGGATTATTTGTAAAGCCTACATTGGCACTTTGAGAATAAGGCGGAGCACCAGGGGCAGAGGTAGCACCAGGGGCAAGGGGTATACCAGGTGAAGCCCCAAACGATGTTGGTGGTTGTACATGTCCAGGAAACTGAATCACTGGTGGTCCCTTTGATCATCAAAGTGCAAATGAAAAAATAATACAATCACACTTTTGTATATATTTTTCAATTGCTTACAGATGTGTCAACTTTTTATATCACATAAAGATGTACAAAAACATTGTTGAAAAATATATATATAATAGTAATAAGAAACAATAAATGTACTCACTTGATAACCATAACTCATTTTGCTTGCTTTGTTGCAAAACGTTCACTCGACACAAAAATCTGTAATTAGAAAATAATTATTATAATTATATAAAAAGTACGATGTCTTTTAATAATTTTGTCTAACCTAAAAAGAATAAATAAAACAATAAATAAAAGAAGAGAACGATAAAATTGGATACGCCTAGTGAGGATGTAAGTACTTGTTATGAAACAATGACAAATAAATTATCTTGATCCAAGTTTTATACCGAAATTGTACGGAAGGTTTCACAGCTTACCTAAGTTTTCACGGAAGCAGGTTCTAAAGATATCGATAGCCTTTACTTTTGTGATACAAAAATAATGACACTTACAGCGAAAAGAGATCTCACAAATATGAAATTAAGAGAAATGATGTTTCATCGGAAACTTAACAGGAAATAATAAAAGTAATCGTTTACTAGATACTGACGTCACATTGTGCAACGTAAGAACGAAATGCATTGATCAAAATGCGCATGTCCGAGCCAAAGCGCGGTAATACTAGGTGGAAATTAAAATACTTCTAAATATTATCAGCTATTCAAAACTGTTTCATTGTTTTATTTTGCCATGATAAAGATTAAATGTATCATTCACTTCTTTGTAATTGTAAAGTCATTAACACCCACACACGCAAAGTCATGATTTGCACGAAGCCATCATTATCTAACAATTATTGCTTTCACGATATATTTCCGCTTAATTAGAATATGGGCAACTTGCAGAAAACTGCAGACTCGATTCGGTTTATTAATTTTGTGTCCATAAACATTTTCACATAACTATGTGTACGTGTTCACAAACTTTGGTTAATATTAATACATTTGTAGTTTATAGTTTAAGAATTAAATCATTAATTCTTAACACAATGATTAAACAATTGTTTGTAAGAATTAAAAAAAAATATGTTAGTTCTGCGGATTTTCAAGAAAATATTTAATATACAATTATATCCGCTCGTCATTACGATAATATATTTTCAATAGCTTAATGTTTAGTTTTATATTGCTGGACTAGATAATATTCCGGATTCACATAGCAAGTTAAATTATTTCTCTTAGGTAAGAAGAGTCCAAAATTAAATCTTTTATTTAAAAACGGAAAAAGGCCTATTTTACTCGGATATTTTTCCCTATATCACTTGCATTACTTTGGTGATCAGTGGTGCATATTGATATGCAGTTTCAAAAGGTCTGTCGCAATTTCAAAATAATTTTCTACTCTCTGTATTTAATCTACGTTTTTTCATTGATCATTTAAAAATTGCATAAATTAATAAAATTTCTTCGTAAGATTTTGTTATAGACCTTTTGAAACGCTTCGTTGGATTTCATTTTTTTCCTATCTACGCATGCATTTGATATAAATTCACGTTCGATGATCGAAATCTTTTCTTTCGCGAATTGTATAACAATCGCTATCATTTCTTACAGTATTTCACAGTCGATTAAAAACTGATGTACGTAATATTTTTCTGTACTGACATCTTTTTATCTTTTTTCTTTTTTTTTCTTTTTTTTCTCCGATTTGAGACTGACTATTTCATAATACATTATAATATACACATGTAGGCAATCTTATTAAAAGTAACAGAAGATAATATAGTCTAATAATATTAAAGGAATTATAAACAAAAATCCTAAATATAAAAACAATAATAAAATAGCTTCAAGATTTTCTTTCGTTATTTCGCAAAACAGTTCGTTGTTTGACACACGTTAATAATATATTGTACAACTACAGAAATATATTCGGAAATGATATTTGTACAATAAGTATGAAAGATAATGTATATCCATCTTATCTCTTAATAAGGTGGATATAAGCCATAAAGGCATAATGAAGAATATTGAGCATGGTTTTAAAAAATTATTAATTATATAAGAGATTCGGACATACGAAAAACGAACAACTTGCAAGACAAACAACGGAAGATAATGCAAGAAGTTGTACTGGACAGTAAAGTCTTTCTCTAGTATAGATGATTCGAACGATATAGAAAGTCGTAAAATTAAATCTGCACAAAAATACAAATGTTTTAACTCCCGAAACAGCAACTTAAGATTTCTCAAAGAGATAAAGAACTCAAATATTAATCAATGTAATAGGGTATCTCTTTGGAATATCGGTTCTTCTATTGTTAGGCACTGATGATGGATCGTAGACAGTTCTTTTAAATGTATGAACTATTAAATAGATTTGAATTATAATAAATTAGTAAATAGTAATTAATAAATTAAATTAAAATTAGAAGATAACTTTAAATTAAATTAAATTAAATCAAATTAAATTAAAATTAGAAGTTCTTTCTGTTTTACTGTTTGGTTTTGAATACCATCAGTTACAAGTTGAAGACGATTCTGAATGTTGGTGTCATCAACAGTTTCATTTTAGCAAGATCGCTGCCGCTACATACATTAATTTACAATCTCTCTATATCGTTAGAAGCAACATACAGTCCTCCTATTTCCTAGCATAATATCGTCACGCCAGGTAACTTTTAATCGAATCACTTCACCTGCGCTAATTGGTCTTTACCCTATACATTACGTACTAATCATAACCAAAACTTAAATATTAATATGTAAAATAACATTCTGCATTAAACAGAATCGTAGCTTTCCAATAATATTACATTAGTTCTCATTTTCTTTGCATGTCAGATTCTTTTAGAAACTACGTTACGAAATAAACTATACTTTATTCCAAATTTATTGATTGCTCAAGATTAACAACGATCAAATAACTCACACAACTCTAAATGATAAACTCGGTGGTCTACCTTGCGGGTAAAAAAAGTAACGTCACGGAGGAAATGATCTTGAGCAATTAATCTATTTTAAATGAACTAGAGATTTCTTTAAATTTTTTTGAAGATTAACAATAAAAAATTAGAAAAAATATTATTACTACGCCAAACGTACTTTACAATACTTCAGGCACTGAATCACTTTGTTTGTCGTACTTATTAATGATAAAAATCAGATTGAACTCGTAAATGCAGTCATAGTCGATTTAACATCATACTATTTGTTGCTTTAATTTAACTAGGTTCGTTTCACTGTATAATCTCATATCAAGAGGCGCACTCGGTTCATTTTTCTTTGTTTGCGTGTGCCAAGCAAGCACCCTGGTACAATTGTCAGCCAGAAACTCGATTTCTTTTGGTTCGAATGGCGCTAGACTTTTCAAGAAACCGTCTTCCTCATAGCCAGCTTTGAATGGCATTGCTGCGTTCGGCCTTTGAAGCAGGAACTTCACACTTACGGCAAAACCTGCCATGTCGACTGGGAACTTCCGACCGGCGATCCAACCGTCATAAAATCCGATAAACTTATCATTCTTGATGATGGGTGTACTTAATCCAAATTTGGTGCACAAACCCACCGGGAACATAGAGATTCGTTTTGTTTTACGTATCTAAAATGCATAATTAGAGTGTTTGTAATTATTTTTCTATCAACTTGAGTAGCTTTTAATTATTTACAACCACATTAATTAATGCTGTAGTCGTATTATCTGAACTAGCAAGGAAATAGTTCAGGATTTTATGTTTTAATTTTAAATTAACAAAAATAAAAAACATCTAATAGATGTTTAATTGTCGGTAACATTTTATCAAAATTATGACATGATCCTTGTAGATCTTGCAGTTGACTGAATACCCGTTACAATATGTAATAAAAACGTTATTAACTGAATATTATGCTCGTAAAAATAATACCTCATCAAAGAGTGCTATGTCATAGGTGTTGTCATCATCGGCAAAATAAAAAACGCCATTAGTTGCATTCGCCCTGATCCATTGTAAGCCACGATTTCGATTAGATACGCCTCGCGGTTTGGCACCCTTTTTCTGCTTGTACTTTTCGGGCATCGGAGCTGAAAAGGAAAGCACGAAATTGTTAGGGTAAATCAACACTGTCAAACACCATTTCGCTATTCAATATAAATTAGTTCGCCCAAAGGCTGATATGATTCCCTGGGAAAGCCGAGTGTACACAACTACATATTTAAATGCAGACTGGCCTAGCCAACAAAATCAATATAACGCTTTTTCATCGAGACCTTTGCGGCTGTTTCAATTAATTCTCCGACGAAATGATAGTCGATGAAAGAAATTAATTTTTATTAGAATTATCTATACCACGCGTGTTGATTTAGTGATGACGTGTTTTTAAAAGCTTGGAAAACGATCTTTTTTGATTCTAGATAAATAATACGTGCAGAATGTAAATATAAAAATAACGTAACTTTAAATTTATTTTATAAATTTTAAATTCTCAATTGCTTTACTTCTGTGCTAGTTTGCATGAACAATTCAAGAAAATATATGTATCTAATTTAGAATAAATGTTTAAGATGACACTAAAGATATTTTCTTCTAAAGCAAAATAGTCGTCCTTAACAACATATAAAACTAGAAAGTCTGAAACCAATCATTTTGACTGATTTGGTGCTCCTAACAATGAATATGTTTAAACCAGAGGCGAGATGTACATGGAGCATTTTGAACAGCCAACTGATGTTGCCTAGAATATAATTTGTTCAGTTATAATCATTAAAATTTTGTTCAAATTTCTATATATTATTATGTGTGCGTATTAAGTTTACCAGTTAGATGCTCGAACTTCAATCCTGTTCGTTCCAGCAACCTCGTGACTTGTCTGGTAGCAACGGTCGCGTCCTCGATAACTAGCCAGTGAACGTTCTTCACCAGCATCAAAGTGTGCGACATCCTGGTGAGCTCCGGGATTTGTTCTGGTCGACGATATGTTGGTGTGATTATGTACAGCGGTTCTAGCGTTTTGTTCCACTTCACCGATGACTCTTGTTGGTCTGGCGTTGTATTTCGGCCATATTCGAACCGTGCAAGCATAGGTCGTCGGACCCTTGAATTATTCTCAGGTGGCTCGAAGATATTCTTATGTAAATGATTTATTAGCTGCTGCACTAACATTGATGCTATCTCTGGACTAAGTCCGTTTGTCTCTTGAACCCTACGCACAGCACTTTTTATCTACAAATAGAGAGAATTTTTTTTTTAATGAGCAAATAAGAGCGGACAGCTTTGATGTACGTAGGTTTACCATTTCTTCTGTGAGCTTCGATGTTTTTACATAGTGTTCTACTTCTTCCTGGGATAGAACAGGGCTTTCTTCGGCGGAGCCACCCGTGTTAAAGTCAATCATCTGATCGAATCGCACGCTGGTGGATAAATGATACTGGTAGAATACCACGAACAGACCTATTAAGGCTACCACTCCCATTTTCGTGGATGGCTTCATTATACCAAAACCTGAAAATAAAAAAATATAATTTATATACAGATCGAGCAAATTATTCATGGCTTATTCTGTCAATATAAACTGATGGAATTTAAATTGAACGTTGATTATTTATATCGCAGCGAAAAAGATTACCAGATCCTTGCATTATATTATATCGAGCAAGTTATTAATTACTCAAATTTATATAGTTCTAGAGAGGCACACGACGAAAGGAATACTATCACTACGCAACTCTAAACTTCTTTTAAGCTCGAAGTAAAAAGTACAGTCCACGCAAAGATATATAAAGTGGCCCTAAAAAGTGCTACGTGATAAAGTAACCATGCTTCAACTGACAAGACAGCGATTTTAAGCCAACCCAAGGATTGATAAGTAGTTGGAGCGACGCTCTGGTCTGTCCGATGTCGATTGGAAATTGATTGTCCCGCAGTATGTTATATACATGTACAATTTTATATCGTGATATATAACGCAATATGTATAACATTAAATATTACATAAAACATATATAAATTGATAGAAGTGATACAGCTTATGAGATGTCAAAGTTCTCTCAAACTGTTCCAAACATTAAATAGGATTCACAGTTATCCTAGTGGCAAATGACCCAGAGTTAGTCGACAGTTGTTTCCGTTCTATTGCTTAGAACCCTATACCTGTGAACCGTATAAGGCCCTAAGTACCGCAACATCAATCGTCGCTCGTTGATTTACAACCACACTATGACTACTAAAATACTCATCTGGTTTTTTCAATCAAGATGCCTCGCAAATGAGCGAGCTTATAAAATTAGGGAGCCTATATGGCTATGTCCAAAGCAATCGCGAAGGGGAAATGATAAGATACGCATTTCCGGCGATACGCGAGCTCCTGCATGCAGACTGGATTTTGAAAAATTTCCATGTTATAAAATTGAACGCAAGAGGTACGTGACATTTACGGTTCCTTCGGTAATCGTAACATCATAACATTTGCTTCCGTGTCGGTAAGAATGCAGATTATTATGAATTCGTAGATGTAACTCAACACTTAACTGTATTTACCTTGAAATGTATCGTGTCGTAATTGAACTATACCTTGTTTATATTTTAAAATCAAGCGACTTTATTTCATACGATAATTTCAAGTGTTTGCGATTATCACCAAATATTGGACATATTGTTATCGTGTATGCTTTAGGGATATCTCGACACTTAGCGAAGTACAAAGCTTGTGCTAAATTATAATTCGGTATTAACTTAAGTACTACTACGATAGCTTTAATTGGAGTATTATTACAATCCAGTAAAATGTTACTTAGTGCCTTTTTTACGAGAAAGTATCGCAAGAAATTTAAACATTTATTCTAAAATTTTTTAAATTATGGATATTTCACGGAGTTCGATTTTTTCACTTATTTAAACGTACGTTAAATTTGTTTAATAATTACAGCTTGATAATTACTAACGGTGAGTAGATATAGCGAATATCTACGTACCCTTCAAATTAGTATTCAGCACACAATTTGGAAAATTATAATAATTAATGATCGATAACGAGTAGTTACATGTATTATAGTCAAATGTTGATAATACGTAAATAATTACGTATAATTACATGTCTATTTATATAAACGTAAACATTAATTTTACTAAAAGTAACAATTTTGTAAAAATTGGAGGGTAGTATCTCAAGTATAGTATCAAGTATCTGAAACAAACTATTACGTATCATTTAATAATTCTGATGTTAATTTAATTTAGGAAGTAAATCTAACATATTATTCTTATTGATTTATGATTTTTACTTTATATTCGTACTGATAGGTCTAGCAAATAGATTAGAAAATAACTTTTTATCAGACGAATTTCATATTAGTTTATCATACTTTGATGATGAAACAAAGGAATTGATTCTGCAAAAATGGATCCTATCATCTATTATATTTCAACAGAATACCTTGACATATTCGTAATAGTCGTATGATACGTTGTTTTCGCAAAATATGTCCTTACTCGAAAATTATCTCGCACTGCGAAGACACTGCAATGAAATTTTACTTAACAATTAAACGAATAAAGAAAAGTGGGTAAATGAAAAAGTTAAAATTAACGATGAAACGCTATATCCTTTAAAATATTAATGAACAATACTTAGACTTCTTCGTGATATCGTTGTCATTGCATTTTTTGTTATCCATAGTTTTAAGTTCGTTCCGTTATAATCTGCCAAATGATAAGGACATGATAAAAATTCTTACCGTATATACAGATACATGAAAAATGACGAAATTACAAATCAAAAATATGGGATTAGTCTTTGCACAGGCGAATAGGTAAAAATGATGGTATAAGTGATATACTTCTACTGGTTTTTTAACATCCATAGTCGAGGAGAGATTTTTGTCCTATTTTAAAACTGGATCTATTCAAAGCTTTGTTTAACTTTAAAATGTCTAAAATAGCCTTCAATGCTGCTGCCCAGAAGAAGCATGGCTCAAAACCAAACTGGTTAGTATTTTTGCACCGATACCTGAAATACGTTGACAGATTAAAATAAATTAAATTTTAGAGATGTACGTCAAATCAATAACCTATAAATTAAAGTGAATTAAATTTGAAAGATATACGTAAAATAAATAAGGTATAAGTTATTTTATATAAGATTTACAAATCACGTTTTGTTTGAATCGTAAGTAAATTGATACGAATTAAAAACACGCGTTTGTTTCACCATTTAGAACCGCAAATTTGCGTTGAGAATGGGCATAATCTTCATACGTGGAATGCAGTACAATTTCGTCTGCAAGATAAATTACAGTCCGTAGGTATTTCTGTAGAATTTACGAAACGAATACCTTTTATAGACACATATTTCCAACTTTGTATCGTATGTAGAATTAATTAAGTAAAAATAATTATTTTCATAAATAACATGATTTCTGTTTACAAATTAATTGAAAACTTATTCAATTATTACGCATAAATGCGGATAGTTTTTTAAATTAAATAAATTATTACCTATTTCTATGTGTATTTCGTATATTAATTATTACTTTAACCATCTTTTCTACAAATTCGTTTGAAAATTTCGAAATTAACGACGATTACTTTATCATTAGATTTGATTACCTTTTCTTGAATACAACAGTAAGATGGCGGTGGTTCAACGAATTTTCGCGCCAGAAGTGCAACACGGTCGATAATCATACTAGACAGAAAAAGAAATATTTGCTTTCACCACCAATTTCAAACCGAGATTCCTCGCTATACACGTGCTAGTTACTGAAATGAATCGCGATCAACGTATCTTTTATATGTAATACGACTATTTATAACCACCTGACGTTTTATTTACGAAATTAAGTTAGCATACAACCAAAAGATAAGCGCAGAGATTGAATTGTTTGAAACTAAATTACAAATGTAAACATGATAATGTGATATTAAAAAAGGAGATATAATGGAGAAAAAAAGTGAAAAGAAAAACGGGAAAATTGTCGATGTGTTAAGGCATATTTATAGAAAAGTATAGCGAAATTTCAACGTACGTAACATTATATAATCGAATCAGAGAATTGTAAATAATCTACTAAAGAATCGATTAAACTTAATTTAACGCCATGATAGACGTACATCAGTTGCTGCAGTATCAACTTCGGCTGTATATGTAGGTCACAAAAAGCTGCAATTCGCCAATGCTTTGTTAACCCTCTCAATTTAGTGGCGCCACTTAGCACCGGCGAATTTACGTGTATTTTTGGACGACATCGGGCCTTTTGTTCTAATCATAGAACTCTATCCCATCAAGGAATGTTTGCATTGTTTACAAAGTGCATTTTCCTCCTTTCTTAACCGATAATACGAGAAATAATGATATACCAATACACATGAATAAACTAGTTCGGTGAGCATAACCTTTTTAGGTTGTTTAATAGACTCGAATTTATATATTACTTTATGGATTTGAAAATCAGACAAAGGACAAATAATTATTTTACTTTATTTCTGTAGGTTAACATTGGCTTTAGACTAATTCATCTTCGACGTTGTTATCGATCTAACGAACCATGAATGCTCCTTATTCATCACAGTACAATTTAAACCTACCTGATAAACGGTGTTCATACTCCGCTCACGAGTTGTAATTGTTCTGCTTCTCGTTTATATAGCTCACATAAATCACAACTTGTCGCACATGTTAAGTGTTCGCGCGTTTTTTATGAGGTTAGAAACGATAGTATAATATCTAACGTATAGCTGTCAATTCGCGACATGACGGGACACGGCGAATCCAATTGAAATTCACCACTAGTGAATTTTCTCGATCGGTTATTATTTCACCACCAGATACTCGCGTACCAAACTTGCTGTGTCTGGCAGAATGAACAAGGTGAATGGTAGTTTCTTCATTATTTTTAACAATGACATGCTTTCATTATGAATTTCTGACTTTTAGATGAATAGCATGTTACAAGAAAATCCATTTAACAACGGCAACAAACTCCATCGATGCGCGATGATATTTCACTGAATCGCGCTCGTTTCCTTGAGCAATACAAATAGACTGACAGATGATTACGAGGATTTCACGACACGTGAATAACCAAGAGATTGTTCCCTGGAGTCGAGTTTCATGAATTTTCATGGTATCACAACTATGTCCGAAAGACCGGGTGACGGAAGCACATTGTCACTCACATAATCAGGTATAGATAAATCTGTATTAGAACATCACTGATCTGTGCCTTCACTAATTTCGCAACACTTCGATCGTTTGGCAAATATATTTTTAGCGAAGAGTCTTAAACCGTTTCGAAACGTTGGCCACATGTCGTGCGCGAATAGACCGATCGTTTTTTAGCCAACAACGAACTGCTTCGATGTTCGTGACAACTTACAAGTCTAGTCGATCGTTCCTTTAATCACGTGCCTGTCTATCCTACGTTTCATTTGTGTTATGTCAGCGAAACGAAGGAACAGTACACCTGACGGAAAATTGGACCGAACGACGACGAAATAACACTCCTTCGTCGGCTGACACTGAACTGTTCCTTACATTCCCCTTGTGCGATCCGTCTACGTTCGCATATCCCCCACTATTTCGTTTCAGCTGGCGCAGCAGCCGACGCCGTCACTGCTCTTATATGTATATATGTATATATGTATATCATGATACATCTGCGCGTTGCACTGAATCACGTGGGAGAATGTATTTGACGCAGAGTAGGTGTTTCTATCGATCTTCGAAAAATCCGCGTGGCGACCGCTTCCGATCGAGCGATCAAACGGTCAATTGAATTTGAGTATCGGCTTTTCGTGTATGTCATGGTCCTTTTCGTTTTAGTGGAAAGTCCAGAGAACCATCAGAGGGATTGCAATTAATCTTGATAATTTATACTTAATATAATGATTTATTAGAATAATGACAAAAATTATGAATAATAAGAATTTGAAGATTAAAGTTGAATTTTATTGAAATATTAACACAGATTGAACATAAATAATTAAATAAGAATTTTTAAATAACCATTCTGTAAAAATTCTTGCAGCAAGTTTTCATTTATAAATGATAATATACCTACAATTATCCTTGATTTGGAAAACCTTGACTGCTTACCGACCGTGATAAAAAATTAATTTAAAAATTTAATTTTTGTCAAAGAGAGAAGCTTAATATCGTCGTCCAGCATAAAACGTGAAGTTAGGTTGCAAGCTATTATTTAGATAGGAATAGCATGCTTCGTTGTGTATGTTGGAACATGACTCAAGCAAACATTGCCGGTTCACTGTAACGGCAACTAATATGCGATGTTTAATCCACATTTTGTGTAAGCAAAAAAGAATTGGTAAAAATCGAACAATAAATCTCGCAGAATACACATACTAGCGTTAATTTCCAAACGTAATTTTTAGTCGGTTTAATTAAATAAAGAAATTTACGGAGGATGTGGAAGGGGAAATAGGTGAGAGGGAAAGTTTATTTGATGGATCAGTTAATAGGTTCGGGTTAATTTTTTTTTTTTTTTTGGTTATATTGTCCGTTTGTGCATATTAGTTGCTGATTATCATACAAACTTGACGCTGAATAACTTGTTTTCAAATTTTTTGAATTCAACAACCACATAACAAGTAGAATCGCTCAATAACCATGCTCGACAGACACCATGCGGTTTTCTTTCTCTGTCCCTGTCCTTCTCTCTTGTTCTCTGTCTCACTCCGACCGTCGTCGCTTCCACTGCTTGTAGCCCTGTCTTTCAGCGACCAGAGTATTGATCCAACTGAGCAATACTTATACATACGGTACGTGTAGCATTGTAAACGGTTCTGGTAGTTTACAAATCTCGGAGGAACTTGTAAACGGAGTTGTTCAAACTTACTTGTTTTTGGTCGTACTACGCATTCGTTGCGGTTAAAATTATATCTACAATTACCGAGAGCTGTTGCGCGAAGCTCGTAGAGAGAAAGAGAGTGTGAGAGAAAAAGAGAAAGAGGGGTTGATGGGGCGAGAGGAGAGAAAGGGGGGAAAAGAGAGGCATATAGCAAAGTTGAGCCATGACCTATACAGAAACAAACCATTTTATAAATTCATAAAGTATTTTTGAATTTTATATTATTTAATCAACGGGCAATGCGTTCGAGTGCAAATTCGATTATCGACGATTTAAAATGACGCGCGAAAATTAGAAAGATTTTTCGAAGATTCGTTTAATCACTGTCGACGTTTGAAATGCAGAACAACCGGTTTTGTTAGTTAATTTCAAACTTGGTTCGTGTACTTGACAACAAATGAATATGAAATTTATTCTGTCCTGATGAAGTGAGTTAAAGCATATAATTTTTGTATCGATAAAAAGATTTTAAAGTACAAAAGACGCAAATAAATCACTTTAAAAGTGTTATTTTGAAAAATATATTCACATAGACAATCAGGAATAAAAAGAAAATAATATAATAACACGGTAGTTGAAGATATATGGTTCCTACTTTTTAACGGGAATGTTTCAATATTGTATCCTGTATTTTCTTAATTAAAAATAGTAACATAAAATCGCTAATTTAAACATCTCGACTCTGTTTAAAACGAAGGTTCCAATTATCCCTGCGTTAATTCAATTTTAATACCACCGAAATATTAACAAAAGGATAATAATGAATAAAAACAAAAGGATCGCGTAGTTATTCTACCACATTAATTAAGCAAATGAATATACTTGCGTATAATACGAAGCGTTGGATTATTTAAAAAAAGAAATACTTAGTAAGAACATACCTCAGCAAAAACTGATTCATTAGTGCATGTTCTACTGCGTTCATGACAATGGTACTTCATTTCAGTCTTTAAAGCGCACAATGCTGCGAATTTAATACAACAAAGTAATATATTAAAGCTAGTGTGTCGACCGTGGTCAGAAAGTGTTCTTTGACTGTCCTTATTTAAAGATAATTTTAAACTGTTATTGAAAAATGATCGTTTAGATGTTATTTAAAAATAATCTAATTCTAAATTTTTGTTAGCGGTTAATAATTGGAAACGGTAGTCATATTTTGTTATGGAACAGATAGTAGACTGATCAGCGGTTAAAGTAATAAAATTTTCTCGCAAGATCTAATCTTACAAAATCGGACTTATCGATTGAAATTTATCACGAACATATTTTCTTGCTCATTTGTACGATCTGATACGCGAAGCTTTCATCACAATTCAACATTCGAGCCGCTTCGCCGGACGTAGCGGTTGAAATAATCGGGACGCCAACACTTGCAGCTTCCTGGCACCAGGAACCAGTCGTAATATAATCTCACCTATATTGCAAACACACGGAGTTAGAAAATTCGAATAATTCTCCCTTCACTTTGATTCGAAACTTTGGCGAAATATTCTTAATCGTTTAATTACCTGGAAACAACCCATTTCGTCAACGCCATCGCAATGATGTTGCGATCCGCTGTTGCGAGCCTCATTCTCTCCAGCACGCTTTTGTAAATACTGCTGATAGTTCTGGAAATCGTGTACAGGTGGTGGTGAACCGGCAGTGTCCCTCAGTCCGCTGAACCTAGAATTCTGATTTTCTTCCAAGAATGTATCAGGATAGAAAATCTCTGCTACTAGTAAACTAGTCCACCTTGGTGATGACAGACAACCTCCATCTAAATAATGACACCTTGATTGCCTGTGAAAGATTGATGAATATTAACAATCGCTTAATAATAATTATTATTATTAACCGAAGGTTAGGAATTTATTACATGCATCTGGTTACTTCAATAGTCTGTGTAAAGTAACCCTCATAAGGGATTTGTACAACATATCGCCAAACTCCTTGATAGTTCTTGGCGAATACTGGTGTTGCATATTCCACTTTTGCTGGACAAGGAGTGGGTGGACCTGTATACTCTGGTTTCTCCTGTGGTGGTGTTCGTTGACGGTACTCAGGGGTAGAGGGCTCGTCACGGCGCTCAGCTGCTGAGGTAGCCAATGGTTCGCCTTGTATCGCTTTGTACAGCATGCAAACCCTTTGATGCAAAGAAAAAATTATAGTTTCAGACTCAAATCTTGACTTATTTTAATATTATTAATTTTTCGCAACTTACACTCCGCCACCATTTTCACAAAATTTACGACCATTTCTAAGAGTGTCCAAAGCGCTTTCTGAATCGGACGATCGTTTGCTTCTGCTTCGTTTCTCTTCAGTATTGACACTGATATTAAAAAAATAGGTACATTTTATAAAATGTTAAAGACAAGCTTAGATTTCTACATATGTACTAACGAATTCTGGGAGTAAGATTGAACTGTGGCAACCTTCGGCAATGAATCGTCGGCCTTGAGTATGGGTAACGCTTTGCTCAAAAATTTCAACGTGTGATTTTTCAGTAGTGCACTATCGAACAAAAACAAAAATAAATATAAAACAGTTATGATTTATCATAATATTTAATTTATTGATTAATTTTTTGATATACTTACAAAGGATACGACGAACCATTGAAATATTGATTCATAGGATTTCGTGGTATATAACCCTTATTAAGATCTCCGCAAATATTATGTATAGAAACGTAACCTTTCCCCTGTTTACCGGTATCTAAAATCATTTGCTCATGGTTATTAGAAAGCAGAGGAAAATAATTTTTATTTCTTCTTAATGACGCATGATATTAAGGGGATACATATTTGTAATGCATACCATAGCATTCTTTGTCGCTGTCTATATAAGGTGGTGGCCTCACTTTAGGCGGTTCTGCATTCGGCGACTTTACGAAGGCGTAATATCCTTCTGGAGGTTCATTAAATTCTGTGGTTGAATCGACGTCATTTGGTTTCAATTGTTTCGTGTCTGAGAAGTCATTTGCATGACACGAAATGCATAACAGAATTATCTAAAAAATCAATGTTATGTTAAAATTTTGTCTCACAAATATTTACGATATAATCTAACCAAAACAATCATCTTTTCACATTGTTTACACGATTAAGTAACATAATTACTCTTACATCAATTTATCTCCGTCATTTTATCTTCTTACGTTAATTTACCAGCTTCTTAAAACCACGAAATTTTATTGTCTTTAATCATTATTGTAGCGTAATTAAAATCCTAACCTAAAGCAAGCAAGCAATCTGTCAACATTTCATCCACCAAACTGGTTGTCTTCAATAGGAGAAAACGATATTCGAATAAAAGCCAGGATAAGCGACATACAAACAACACATTGTTTAAACTAGCTTGTCTGCTGATGATCCTTCGACTCTACGCGTTTCGCTCTTACAAGGCATTCCCCGTTAGTAAGATACCGAAGTGTATCGTATTCGGCCTTAACGGTACTTGGTCCACGCTCCGCGGACTATTAATACCCAGGACTATAGTCTTGTATGCTGACTGCCCCACTAAGCGTATACGTTCGCCGGCCGTTACATTCTTTCGGCTCTTTAACCTTCAGGAATTTCGAGGATAAAAATCGTCATGCACGACTATCAGACCAGAGAAGTTTTCATTGATCAATTAAGCTGTTATAGACCATTTACTTAGCCTTTCTTTCAGTAAGGTGATTTTGTTTGATTTAAAATAAACGCGTACAGGATATCACGAAGTGCATTTAGGCTAATTATCGCCACTAGGTTAACATTACCTATTGAGTAGTTCATGGTTGTTTCGATAGTTTTGATACGGGTAAAATTTACAAAAGTGTTTATCAATTATTTAATATAGATTGCGTAAGTTAATAAGTAGTGGCGCTTCGTGTTACTGTCAATCGAAATGTTCTCTTTACTTCCAGGATTGAGGAGAAATGGTGTCGACAAGAGTTTTATAGTTTTGAGAGAGACTGTTGCTACAAAAATCAGAAATCATTGCTTTCGTTAATAGCATGATGTATTTTTTTTTTTTTTTCAAATAGTGACAATTCTTGAGATGGATTCTCATGAAATATTCGAAAAAGAAAAGATAAGGTAAGATTGTGATCGATTAAGAAACGTAGAATAAGGTGGATATCAGATTGTTTAATGATCGATCTAACGAAATTCATGTAATTTTTTGACATTCTGTTGACATAAAAGGACATTAAAAAAAGAACGAAAAAGTATACTTTTCCCATCGTGATGTTTATTATGCATTTGCGTAACGGTATTACTTCATACCGGTTCCCTATGATTACTGAATACGGGACATTCTATAATAAGTTTCTACTAGTGTTAAGATAATAGATTTATTCAACTTTTCCCGCTACCTTTGATTTACCACGCGCATCGATTAATTGTATGTTTTATGCCGAATTTTATAGATATTCTATTTAATTCAATTCATATAGAATCGATTTTAGCGGCAAATAGTTTAAACGACATTATTTAATATTATATATAACTCGTTTTAAATTGTTGCGTAAAAATAATTTTTTGATATTAAAAAAATTGTAAACATAAAAAGTAAAAATATAGTAGCAATTGTTCGTAATTAAAAATACTAATAATAATATTAACATTTAAGAAATACTTAAAAAAAAAAAAGAAAAGAAACAAGAGAACGAGCACTTTGTCAACTTACGACAAATTTTTGGAATTCCATTGTAGTATCCTTTTTATCTTCTTTAACACAAAAACAAAATGTGCTGGATTCAAAATAGGAGTTCTACCTCAGAGATGTCTCGTGACCAGTCGACGGTCATAGCAAAACTGAACACATTGAACTCGTGCTATGGTATAAGGAGTCACCTGCCTTCGGTCCCGTATTCATCACCACCAAAGGCATCCATGAACCGTCCCACGTCAAATTATAGTTCAACGATTCTCGAAATCTTATCATCTCGTAAAAAATTTTGTGATATATTCTGAGAATTCAAAAACATAAAATAAAATCTTTCAATTTTAAGAAATTTATATAAAAATTCAAAAATACTAATGTTTATAAGGTTTTAATATTTTAAGTGAAAAGATCTTAAATGTTATAGATCAAAATTAGTTAAATTTAATGAATTTCAACACTGTAACTTAGACGCAGATAAATTATCGTTGGTATTTATTATTCAGATTTTAATTCTAGTTTGTTCTAAATAATGTTAAGCAAAAAGACAGATTTTATAGATGGTGACAAATAATATTCATATCGTGGCGCGCCGTGATCTGTTGCGCATGCGTATATGCGACTTATTCAAGATGTGAAGCTAGCGTCATTTTCCGGACAGTATATAATCTTTGGATAGTTTTTTCTTAGGATCAGAATGAATGAATATGTTGTTTACACTGATGATAAACGAATAAATAAGAAAAAATAAATGTATAGATTGAATAATTATATACTTACATTTCAATCTCCCTCTTTTCTTGTGCTCTCACATATCATTGTTCAATTTTGTTTACTATTTTGTCATTTATAGATATATCTGAATTAGTAATGCCATTATAAAATTATAAATTCGTTCTTCATTTACTTCATAATAGAGTTTTTACTTGTTCTATTGAAAAAATACTGTATCATAGTACTGTAATTCATTTTCAAGAAAATTGAGAACATTTGTACCAGACGTTTCCTTTGAACAAATATTTTACAGTAACTACACGATCTGTTACATCGAAGAAAGATCTCTTGAGACGAGATCAGGGCATTTCCGGAAATGCACGTCGCTATAGTAGTTGGTCAAGGCCATCAACTCATTGAACATCCTTCCACGGTGAATACAAAGAAGAATGTGGAACGGCAACCTGTCGATCTACGCATTGGCGTATGAGCCGTATTTTTTTATTCTCTATATATTATTGTATTATGATCGTTATAAAAACGTATAGTTATAGCCTTTTAGTAACTGTTTGGTAAAGTTAGGTCACTGATTTAATATACAACAAATTATTTTCTCTAAATTACATTTTAATCCAAATTACTCACGTGTTAATGCCAAATGATCAATTTTTTATAGCTTAAACAATTGATGTGTATTTTATAACATTTTATACTTAAAAAATTACAAATATTAGAAAAATTAAATCGCATAATATTAATTCTGTCAAAATTTTGATATTCTTATTTACGACATTGGCAAATGAATGTATCAGGTTTACCGCTTGGAGCGCTGCAGGTCATTGATTCGTGATGTAGTAGTCTAGATAATAATTCCTGATGTTTTAAAGTACACCAACAATGACCTAATACTATACGAGTTCTAGAAAGTTTGACTAGCAATCTATGAAGCCCATATTCCCATCATACTGATCTCACATACTTAACCTTTATGGCACGTTGAACTTAAATAAAATAATTTTTTATGGCAATCACATTACGTGATGCATAATTTTAAGAGCTTATAAAATTCATATTTGTCAAATTATTAAACAAATATTGAAAATCATGTTTTTCTTAAAAATGTTCTCTTTCCTTAAAAATTAATTATACGTAAAGTCGTAATATCGTATTCGATTATTTAAAAAATTATGATTGTAAATAAAATTACCGAATTCCTTTCATTTTACAAATCAAATAAGAAAATAAAAGATATATATAACTTACCCGTATAAGTTGGGCTTTGTAAAATAACGTAAATACGTTCTTGAGTCCTTGCACATAGCTTCTTCTTCTGGGAGTAGACAGCAATTCTCGCTAAGAGCGGAAGGTATGATATAAAAAAACAATTTCGATACTTAGTAGGATAGATGACATTTATTCCATTATTTTATCGTTATTACTTGCTACTTGAATGCTATACTCGTAATAGGTATCTATAATTATGTCGATAATTATGCGTGAATTTAAAGAATACGTGAGGTCAGCCGCAAGATGTACAGCCCGTGTCAGTGTTACAATCGTCATATAGGTAAATAATTATAGAATGAAACTTACGTTTTTAGTTTTCAATCATTCATTAAGGGAGATGGGGATGATGGCGGCTCATTCATTTCTGTTAATTCCTGGTTTTCCACTATTGATCAATCTTATAATTTACATACGCTTGAATTTTTCTTTTTTTTATCGCGATCAGAATATTTTCTAGTTTTTATTTTCACTTAAATATATCGATTTGAAGATTTTTCAACCACTATTTTCCTGCCAACCTGACAAACACTCTTACTTATGATAAATTTCTAATTCTTTTACGAAATTGTAATGCACAACATGGGTATGCGAGATACCGTTGCATTTTCTCCTTCTTCTTACTTCTCTAGTTTCGATGAGTTAAACTCTTCCTTTAAACAATATACAAATATTTGTTCTTATCCTCGATACTTCGACTGAACGTGATTTGTTTGCGATCGATTTTACGCTAAATAACGATCAAATACAAATTACGTACTGTTTTTATCTGAATGTTTTTGGTCTATACTTAACGTAACATTCCTTCCAAATATTTTTACATTCAAATTTTGATTGAAATACTTATATATTTTATTAAAAATTAATTGTAATCGTAAAATGTTAATTAGAACAAATTGCTTTGGACGACAAACGAGATAAAAAAAAATCAAAGAATGTGTGAGTTTCCGGTAAACATTTGATCCCCACAAAATATTAAATATTTATTAAAAATAAATACGGAACGTTTCGAAAAGCATTGAGATCCGAATACGCTATATCTTTAAATTCGGGTAAAGAAAAGGAATTGTAAAAATATTATGCTCAGTCATTAATTATTTAATACTTTCTCTTTAAAATTTCTTTATCCAGATGCGACAATGCAAACAAAACAGATTTACCCGAATTCAAAAATCGTTTAAAGATAAAAAAGGATGTCAACACTCCTTTTGACGTTTCGCGTAAT